TAAATAACTGAAAACGAACAACGTCAAAATAAGAACAAATCTTTTGAACACTTTCAATCTTAGTAAATAAAGTGACCTAAGAGCAAAAAATGGCACTGTGTAGCAGTCAGAATTCTTCTGTCTTAATTACTTTGCCTCAAAAGGTGAAAAAAGTTTCTCAAATTTTTCTCTTTACTGCAAAACCGTGATAAAAAATTTCAGTTAGTATTTGAACTCTCTGAAGGTAACAGTAGACAATTTTCTTTTAGCACTACTTTATTCAAGCTCCCTAAAATTTTTTATTCTAGACGTTGCTAAAAAAATCGGTCAACCTTAATAGAACGCGTCACAGTTTGAGAAGATTTAATCAAATTATCCTCTAAATGCTTATTAAATATTGCTGAAACAGTTGTCCGGACAAAGAGCAGCAAATGAAGAAAATCTACATCTAGTAGTCATATCGACTCAGTTCGAAATCACTGTTCTGCAGAGTAATGAGATCTTGCTTCTAAATGGTCTTCTCAGTATTACTTTTATCAGTGCACTTCTTTGTTCTGTGTATTTGTATGAGCTGTCCCCTTATTACCCAGCATAATGTAGCGAACTAAAAAAACCAAAGAACAAGTCGAAAAGAAACTATCAGAAAAATCAGCATAAAAAGCAGCTACACACCAAAATAGATATTGTACTTCTTATCACTAAAGTTTATTGTCATTGCGAACTGTCAACTTTAATAATCACTGTTTTGCAGAATAATGATAAAAATAATGGTCTTCTCAGTATTACTTTTATGAGTGCACTTCTTTGTTTCGTGTATTTGTATGAGCTGCCCCTTTATTACTCAACCGTCTGTATTATACTTCGGCTCAAATTCACGTGTTCATTATAAACACGGTGAACTTAAGACTTCAATGTTTTCGCAATTCACACTTCAAAACCCTCTCAGTCAAATAGAATAGCTGTATAGCACGATTTCGGTAGACCCTACGTTTTTAAAGCCTTATATCTTCAAAAATCAGCCGTTGATTGTCTACATTCCTTTTTTTGCTAGAAGGTACCGCTTTGATTAGGTTGAAGTTCGAGTCAATTAGCTGAAAGCTATTCGCGGTGATTTCCACTCGCCCCGAGTTTGGATGAATACAGGTTTTTCGTTTATCATTCCTCTGATTTACACATATATATTATGATTTTTCAATGTCAGAATGTTATAGAAGAAACCAAGGTTTTAAAAGACTATTTTCTTTGCCAGAAACTGCAATGTTTATTTCTTGTCATGTGAGCAGTATCAGGGAGAAGAAAAAACGGCCAACATAATGTAGCGGAAAAAAAAAAAAACAGAAGAACTAGCCGATAGAAAACTACCAGGAAAATTAATATGAAAAACAGCTATAAACTGAAATAAATATTGCACTCTTTATCAGTAAAGTTTACTGTCGTAGCAGATAGCTTGCAGGTTGTCGATTTTAGTAATTTTTCTTTAGATACCACAAAGGGGCTGCAAGAAAAAAAACTGCAGAAGGGAAAACAAAAGTTAAGAGAAAAAAGAGAGCATCTGCAAATAAACAATTAAAGGAACGAAACAAATGAATACTAAAAAATAAAGGCTAGATTTTTTTATTTTTTCTCAGTTGCTTACTTTGTTTTACTGTAAAGTTGCTGGGTGCTCAAACGATGCTCCCGAGGAGTGTATTACAAAATTTTAGTAGCCCGCTGAGAACAACTCAAACACAAATCGTTATGAATAAAAGTGCTGTGAACGACAGCTACTCATAAAACTATATATTTTGTTTAGTAGAAGCCAGTTAGATAGAAATAAATGAAAAATTAAATGTGATTTAGTAAGCAGATCAAAAGTGTCATCCGTGGATCCTCTACAAATAAAATTTGTTGCTAAAAACCAGATTAAAATTTCATTTTCTAGACCTTTTAAAAATTTTGGCTTTTTCATACCCCACAATTTTTAACACCTTACTCATCACAGAGATACCGATTTTATCGATTTTTAGTATTGATTTTTCTGTATTTTTCCACAGATTCCACAGGATTGATAAAATTCCAGCATCTCGACGACAACCAGAGTCTCACAATCTTTGAGTAATTAAAAAGATGGAGGTTGCAAACCAATTTGCAAAGTGATATCGAACTTTGTAAATTAGCATTTATAAGGGAACACGGCGACGATAGAAGACTTAGAGACAAGAAGGACAAGAGTGACTGTATTATTTTTCTGGCGGTTGTTGTTGAAAATGTGCAAGCGAAACTTTTTGGGAAATTTTGTAAACTGCAGATTCTTAAAGGTTAATTTTGATTATTTTCAGTCGCGGAGCATTAAAAGGAACCCTGTTTCTTGTTTTTTCCTCCACAAAATTTGCTATCGAAAAGTGGCCGGCATGTTGCATGAATCATGAATAAAAAGCATATACCCGGACACTGGTATTAGTAACTGTATTTTGTCGTAGAAGTAGCAGCTAGGCAGTGAGACGAAAAGAGCACGCTGCAGGAAAAAAAGGGAATGTGACACCTTATCAGTTTTCTGTGTACCAAACAGAATTAACGAACTTTTAAAAAGCATCAAAGAACACTGCTCACAGCGAATGCTGCATTAGTCTGCTTTATGGTTTCAGTTCTCGACATTAAGACGAGGTGCGATTGACAACAAATCAAGGTTAGCGGCACGTATATTGATCGGCTTGATCCATGTTTCCCAACGAGGAATCTCAAAAGGAGACTGATGCACGAAAAAGAAAGACGTGCTAGGAAAGAGACTTAATTAAATAATAGACGGAATTGTCAAGACTGTTCTCAGCAGATGTCAACAAAAGTAATGAGCCCTTTTGGTTCTTTTTTTTTCCACTGTCAACTGGTGTATAAAGTGAATTTGGCTATTTTTGCACACTTCAGCGTTATCAATAAAATCACTTCTGGTGAAAGTCATTCGGTAGTCAATAAAAATCAAGCGTCAGTTCTGGAGAATGGCAAATCATAGTGTTAGCAAATCCAAATTACGACAATCGGCATGAAAATGCGAAAGTCTGAAAGTGCTGAAATTCTTATTTGTTTTTCATTTGATTTTGAATGGAGCATTTATCTACGCAAAAGAATGATGTTCAAGGAAACTGAAATGCATTTTTCTGTGCCACAGAGAACGTGTTGATTATTAATATTCAGAAACGGAGTAATGCTACGGTTTCATCCAAAACAGAAAGTGTAGGAAAGAAGACGTTGTTATCTCTCGCTGTAAAGTGAGCTGATACCATCGATTGATATTTTACCTTCAAATAGTTTGAAATCTCGTGAAAATAACGGGTACTCGTTACAAAGAAAAACTACCCTTGATAAGAGCCAGTTGATGTTGTCTTCAGCCCACTACAAGTACCTAAGTGCCAAGTGCCCATCGATGCTTATGCGCGGAGGTGATGAAATAACCATTGCGGCTTCAAGCATTCCTCATATCTTAGTACATAAAGTTGTTGGTTTTTAAAATAATGACGGATTTAGTAGGGCAAAAAACTTAAATTTCCAAGGCAAGTGCTTTAGTATCACCAGAGGACAGTTTTAAAAATTTTTGCTAACAAAATGAAACATAAAAGCTCTGCTGGAATTCAACGAAGAAGCTTGATGAGCACATGTGCAAACATTCCTCCGCTAAATTTTAAACCCTGAAATTCGTGCGTTTACTTCCAGTCAGAAGACGTGTGCAAAAGTCTTCTCCGTACATCAGATTTTGCTCCTGTAACCGGCACCAATACCCTTCGGAACGAGCACCGGACGGGAATTGATTGGCTGCAGTGGTTGAAGCAAAAATGGCGCTCCTTTCTTAGGGTTAAAAATTGAAGCACTCGAAAAAACAGCAATCTAGCTCTTGACATAAATCTCTGTTGATTTTTCCAGACGTCATTTGAACAAATATTCGTATTCCATTCCGTCTTTGGGTGCAAATTGTGCAACAGTTTTGATATAGTTTGGGACTCGGTTGGTTCCCTGAATATTGAAAACTGATAAATAATTTGTCTTTTTTCTTCAGAATTGGAATGAACGATAAACAGTTGCTGGGTATGGAAGAATGCTCAGAGAGTGGTAATCTGTTCCAACTATCTACTACTTCGTTTAAAAATTAAAAGTTTTTTTTATGTAGTACGACCTATTTTTTAGCTTATAATCGGGGAAGTCGTCAAAGGATAACGGTACTCGTTGAATGGAAAACGGCGCCTCATTTTAATGAATTTTTACTGTTGCTTTCAAGGTAGAATTTAATGAAGGTGAAAATAGATTTTTGCTAGTATTTTAATAAAATTTGAGGCCGATTATTAGCTGGTTAGTTATTTTTATTTTTCAAACTAACATAAACATGTTATAGCGGACAAGTTTTAGTCATTAGCAGTTGGGCAAAGTGGTTTTCTGGTACGCTGTCTGTTTTGAAAAACAGGAAAGTTTAAGGAGCAAAACTTTAGTTATCATGCACTCTTCAAAGGGCCCACTTTTTCTTGTCACTTGAGTTTATTGCTGTTATACAGAGGGTGAGGGTCAGTAGTCTTGCCCCATCAATAAAATAGCAAAAGCTTGCTAAGGTCGGTTTTCGCAAATTCTGTTGGTATTTAGTCACTGATTTTCAAAGCGCCTTCATCCTAGTAGCTATTACGCAAGATATTTCCTTCGTTTTTTGGTAAAAAAATGGTTCTCTTCTATATAGAATTATCGTCGTAGGAAGTTCCAAGTATTTGCACTTTGACGTTCAAAGTATCGATTTTTGCTCAAATGATTCTGCTTTTACAGCAGTAGTTTACAATGTCTTAATTAATAGTGAAGAAGAAGCGTTAAGTAGAAATGGACTTTTCAGATACGTAGGACACATAAAAATAGTCATATTATTGCGCTGTCTGTGTGAAGCATGGAAATTTGGATTTTACTCGGTCTTTTTGAAGCTCTGTAATGGTTTCTTTCAAGTTTTCTGGAAATTGGCAATGGTTTGAGAATTTCTGGCGCTGCCGCAACTAGAAAGCTGCGTCACTTGGGGATAGCAGATGGTTACCACGAACAAAATAGTCGCGTTATGGCGGTATCTAGCGAGACTTATAATTTAAAGGAGACAAGGACTTCAATATTGCAATTCCAAGATGACCCACGTGGCTTTGAACTTACCTGTTCTATTTAAAAGGTACAGCCGTAATTGAGATCAAAAAGAAGTCAGTAGTTTTGTGAGGAAAGTGTCTAAGTGTAGCTTAATCAAAGTAATGTAGTATGCGATTATCTTTTTTGGGAGCTGAATGTAAAACAAGATTGCCATCATTTGCGGCTCATGTGTTTTCAAAATCTTAATTTTTTTCAGGGTGCAGAATTCTAAGTAGATTAATAGACTAAGGTCATTGTGGTTCTTCTAGAATTCGTTCTGATTGATAATGGGTTTTCAAAGCGGTTGAGAAGCTGAATGTTTATAAATTTTGCTGCAAAGTAACGAGTAGAGAAGTAACTTGGTGTTCATAGTGCAGCAAGAAATAAGAGCGGAAGAAATTTTTGCAAGTTTTTTTTCCTCATCTGTCCTGAGGCATTGTTGAATGTGATGTTATCTTATTTTTCGATTCTAATCAACTTTTCTGAATGGCTCTAAGAACGAGAGGAATATTATGGAGTACGCTCAATGACTTTCTCAACTAAATTTTGATACATCTGCATTATTCTAGACCATTATCATTGCTCTGGACAGAGAAATTGGTATTTGCCTATGTGGTAGGTATGTTGATGAGCACTGTAGAACAGGCACTTCGATTATATACAGATGATATAAAATTTTGTACACTTGGGAAGCCTGATGATTTCTGCACTGTTGCAATTTGGTTAGGGTGTTTTCGTGGCTCGGGCTGTGGTAGCAGCATCTTTTCTGTTCGTGTCTTATATGGTCAAGAAACTGTTGTTACAAAATGGTCTTTATTTCTTCTCTAGAGTTTATTACTGTAAATTTGTTAATTTTTTATTATTTATTTTTTAAATACTTAATACTTTTGAGTGGAAGACGATGTACAGGAAAATTTCCTTTCTTTGTTATATACACAACCGACTAAAACAAATTGAATTGCAGAAGAATTAACTTTTTATTGTGACACTTTGTTATATTGTTGGCATATTGTTAAGCAAATTTTATTTCAAAATTTTTGGTAGGAATTAGGAGGTTTCGCAATAAGCGGTAATTTTCTAGCAAAAAATTTATTAGATTAGAAGTTACCGGTGACAAGCTCTTAATTTCTTATGTTAAAAAGAAAGTTGTAGAGACAGTGAAAGAATTACTATTTGACATGCTCTTTATCTGTTTGCTGTAAACTGCCACTTGACTCAAATACTTTCGTAGCTTCATTCTGCTAAAATTGCATCTTTTTTTTACGTGTACTGTTTCTAAGAATTATTGATCAGTAGTTCTTATGATAAATTACTGACTACCGAGTTCACAAAAAAAGCAACATAGAAAAAACATTTTTTAGCCAATTTTACTTACCAAGAAAAGAACTATTTTTACTTTTAAATTAGTCATTAAAACTTTTTCTTAAAGCAGTAGCGATCGCTTATTGCAGAATCACTTATCGCATAGGTTTACTTATGTTCAGAATGATTAAATTTAAAAAGTTATCTGAAGCTTTACCTATTGGCATCGACCTAAATTTTATGGTAGTTGATCGTGAAATAAACTCTTTAAAACGTTTGCGCTTATTCTTTTGGAGGTAATTCAGCAGTTTAGAATTTGACTGCTCTTTACTGTTCATTTGCCACAGTTTAAGTTACATTATTATTTTCACACATACAGACATCTGAGTAAACTTTGATACTGCAGTTTCGTAATCATTGAAACATTGACTGAGAAGCAACAATAAATAAGCAGTAAGAAAAAATTTTCGTAAGCATTGTAAAACATGACAGCCGTCAATGTGTTGTATGTAATTTCTGTACCTTTGTTTCTACAGTTCCTAGATCAGTAGCTAAAGTTTAATATTCTCTCTAAAAAATTTTATACTGGCATCTCTAGTTCAGTAAAGTTTCAGATATACCGATAAAGGTGCTTAGCAGACTGCACTTTGTCGTTCTTTGCTTATAAACACTTTTGATCGATTGATTCGCGAATGATATAGCAAAATTTTGTTTTTTGTTTGCTAATTCGTTTAGCAGACTCTTCGAACTTAGTGCCTTATGGAAAACTTTTTGAATTCAGTATTTAAAGATTCTTTTTGTACCAAAATTTATGGGATTCTTGTACGGTTTAAAGCAAATTTTCAGCTGTTTTTCTGATTTGCTTTGTCGTCATTTTCTCATGAAGTACAGCTCCACTATTTTATGTGCTTTGAAAAAGTTGCCACTTTAGAATAAACATTTCACACGTCGTATTCTTCTCCAACATTCTGGAAGATTTCTGAAAACTTTCTTGGCTCAGAGTTGAAGATGATGCAGTTCCAGCAACACAAAAAAATCACATGTTGAAAGTATTTTAAGAAAACGCTTCACAGTGAGTACCGTAAGTTGCAACAGATCTCAGAACTAATAATTACACCATAACGTTTGTTTGTTAATTGTTTATAAAGTACACCTAAGAATTAAGCTTCAAGAAGTGAGTTTATAAATTTGTACGATCAGTATAAGTGGAGTAAAAACTGTGTGGAACTGTGAATTTTAGGTTAATTAAACGATAATAGCAGACCAAATAGGAAGGCTAAAAGATGAAAAAAAAAATAAAGAAAAATATAATAAGTTTTTTATCGCTAAGAATTTATAAAGCTTTTCAAATTCTTACTAACTTTACAGTAAAATTATGAATGGAAAGGTGGAAACTCAAGTAGGCTGATAAACATTAAAATATTTTCGGTTTGATTTTCAATATTTTTTGTTCTGTTGGGTACTTTGGAAGTTAATTAAAAAAGATTTCTGAAAAATTTATTGTTATAAAGTACTTCGAGAAAATGTTTTGTGTTTTCTAGCGTTTTACAGGTTATTTGAAAAATACACACTGTTGAGAATATCTGTGTTATCCTGGAGATATTGTCAATACCATAATTTTATTTTACAAAGTAATGATACAAAAGACTTTTAGAATGGCTTAAATTCAAACAGCTCAAAAACAGCAATGCCACTTCTGCTGCCAATTTTGATTTGGGCACTTTAGCTATGAAGAGAAAGAAAAGAAAATTCCGAACAAGCAAAAGATTCTGCTTATAAGCAGAACAGTTGTTGCTAGAGAAAAATTAGAAAGAGTAAACAAGAACAGCTACTAAAAAAAATGTTTGCTGCTGTCGAGTTGCCCTGTAAACTTAATAAATTTGGCAAAAAAAAAAAAGAAAAGTTTAAAGTTTTTACAGTTTTCTTATTTCTGTCGTCTTCTTATTTTACACTTTATCTATCGCCGATGTTTAATTGAACTGCAGTTCACTGACTTTATAAACTTTCATAGTTTGTCGCTTATTAATAGTACAAATTTTGAATCCAAAAGGAGATTTCCACTCAAAATTATAGCGAGTGACAGTTGTTGTATCAGTAATATTGACTACATAAAAAAACTAATACTAAAGTGTGTAAGTGTCAATTTTATATGCTGTCGCAGCACCTTATAATGCTCACTTTAAAGCAAAATGTCTTCGCTCATTTTTTTCACTCAATTTGTATACTTTACTAATTCAGACACAGAATTTTAATCAAAAAAATTACTTACAGTAAAAAACATTCATTTATGGTGTATCGTATAGTCTCAACAGTATTCAAAAATATTACTAAAAATAAATTGGTAATTTTTATCAATTATCGTCATGTCTTATATTTGTTTGGAAGCATATAAGAAATTTTTTAAACTTTTAACAAATAACTTTAAAAAACTGTTTTTTTCTTATTTTTAGATACTGTCAACATGAAACTGTTTGAGTAATCAATCTAGAGCATTTTCACATGGTTATGAAGAACTAATTTGCATTTGAGAAAAATGCAATTTTTATAAAAGATTTTAAAACTATTAATTTGGGAGAATCAGACCAAATGTTGGTTTTAAGTCAATGTTCAATTTTTTTTCTTGTTTTAAGCTTTAAAAGTTTTCTTTTAACGTTTTGATTGGAAAGGCTCTGAAGTAATTAAGATCAAAAAACAAACATGACTTCAAATGTTTTCTTCTTCTGAAGCGTTGGTAGCGAGTTTCAAGCAGGATTGTTTTAGCAGTCACACTTGTAGATTCAGAAATTATAAGTGTTTCCTGGCTGATTTAGAATGTTTTCAGTTGCATCTATTCAGCTATTTTTCAAAAATATTCTTTAAGTTATGCCATGTCTTTTTCATGCCGAAATGATCACGCTGCTAAGCACTACATTTGTGACCTTTCTGAGTAAATGCTGCACAAAGTTTTTGTGGTATGGTAACTATCTAGTATAAAACACTTTCTCTTTTGTACGGCAAACATTTAATATTCCATTTATTTTAAACCTATATTTGAGAGTAACAATGGTCGACAGAAACAGTCTGAAAAGAGCACTGAAATTAGCAAAATAAACAGCAAAGAAATTACAACAAAGTTTGTGGATCTATAGCCTTTGGTACATCAGCTGTCTGCTGCATTAGTATCGGGAACTGATAGCACAGAACTGTACATTCGTACTTCTCCCGCTCGAATAAGACTTGTTCAGATAGGTTTTTAGCAACTAACTAGGAAAAACTTCACCAACAAATGTTAGTTTTTCCTTGAACTGAAAGGCTTAAACAAAACAATCAAATTTTTGTCATCGGCAGTTTACTTTATACAGCTGACAATACCAACTGAGTTTGGTGATGCTTAAATGTCGACGTTTTGATAATAAGCTTTTTTTGGAACAGAAAGTATGAAGAAGAATATCTGTCGCAGACGTCGTGTAACCTATTAAAGATTAAAAATTAGAAGCCTGTTCGATGCTTTTTCACTTAATTTTTGGTTTGCTTTTGAATTTTGCGTCTGCTATTAAACTATATTTTTCTTATACGGTTTACATATTATCTGCAGATTCTCAAATGTTTTTGATAACCTTTGACGTCAGAAGAAGTTTTAATTTACTTGAATTCTGTTTTATAAAATGTCTTTTGCTGTAAACGACGTTAGAAAAAAATATGGAATTTTTTACAGAGTAATGGTTCAAAATATTGATTAACCAATTTCGATGAGACTGAATAAGAGCTGATTTAACTTTTGCATTAAGTGGGACCCTTTGTTCCAAAAAAAATTATTTTTCAAATAATTACAATATACATATTTCCAAACGGTTTTTTTACACGGTAATGGTTTCGCAGAAAAGTCACATTGTAATTTGTTTGAGATATCGTATAGAAATAAAGGCTTAATTGTAGACAAATTTGCCATCAGCATCACTTTATTTCTCAATTGTTTTAAGAACATTTCCCAAAGATAAGGTTTCAGCCAGCTTGCGGTTGGGTATTAGTGCTGTTTAGTAGAACTTTTTACACAATAAAAGAAACAAAAACTTCAAAATCTCGGTTCTTTTAAAGGATATTTCAGCGACCTCATTTACCTTCTTTGATGCGAGCTTCTGCAAGACGTCATCCTGACATCTCCAGAAGTTTCTATGTTCAGTTGAACAACTTCGTCATAGTGCATCTTACAATCATGAAAACAATTTATTTTTCTTCTATAAAAAATAGAAAGCTACAGGTAAATAGAGAGCGATTAATTGTAGCTTAAATTCTTTCAATTACTTTGCAAGTTGACAGATTCCACAAAGTGTATTACGAAATTACTAATTACCTTGCAAAACTTCCCAAAAAAGTCTGTTGTTTGTTGATTACAGTAAAGACTAGAAAGGTGTCTCACATGTTTCTGACTTGACGATGAAACTGCCTGGCAGAGCCTATAAAAGTGATGGTTGAATCGATAAAACGAATGCAACTTTTTTTTTGTAGTTTATAAAAGAGTAAAGTAAAAAATCACTGACAGCTTTGAATTCAGTTACAGCTCTGACAAATTGGTAATTTATTTGTGGTTCTTTGAAAAACTTCCTGAACATTTTTTGCGTATAGAATAAATTGTCTGAATTAACGGTGTCGTTTAAGGTTTTCCTGTAAATAATTAGCACTGAACAGGAGTTTGAGCTTAACAAACCTCTCAGTCGTTCATATAATGCACAATTTTTTCAGCCTACCATTTAGTATTTGAGGTTATTTTTTGATAACATTTGTCAGTAACTACTCTTCTATAGATAGTCATTATAACCGTGGATTTTTTTTTTGCAAATTAATTTCTTCAAAAAATTTTGCGTTTTGAAAGTTTTTTGCGTCTGCTAAAGGACACTATTGGTATATTTAGACAAATATCAGTTTAAATTGTAGTTCGTACTTTTTTTGAGGAACTTTATCAAATTTTGTAATTAATAAAAAAAACTACTGTTTAGCCACACTAATAACTGTTTCAAAGTATCACTACTGTCATAAGAAATGAAGGTTTTATTGTAAAACCGGAAAGAAAGCTAAGATAACAGAACATATTACGCAGTGAAATGATTTTGCATACTGCTTTTTATAATGACAGTCGTTGCCGTCATAAAAGAAAATAAAAAAGAAGAAGGAAACCTGGCTGAGTGATATTACATTGATGGTTGGTACCCACTGACGTGCTGTAGGGTTTTCATTTTATTTGGTTACACCGTTATCTTCTTTTTAAGTCTTTTTCGTTTTACAATAAAGCGCCTGTTGTTGGTTTTTATCTAAAAGTAACATAAAAGTTTCTTTCTTACTTCAAAAAAACTTTTTTTTTGAAAAGCACTTATGTTTTTTTCTTGTCTGCAAATAAGTCAAATTTCAAAAAGAATTAGAAAAAATTGTTTTATGCAATTTATTTATGCTATTTAAGCTTTTTGTTTCGTTTGCATAAAAGTTTCAGCGTTTATATTTATCATTTAAATGTTGATTTCGTTCTCACTACTACTACTTACTTTACTATATTAAAATGTAGAATAAAACTGTATAACATTTGGTAGACATTTATACTGCAAAAGGTTTATTGCTATATGCTTAATTTTTTTTAGTAGTGAGTTTTTTAGTAAACAAAAGTTATTCGACAAATTCCCTAGCTCAGTTTTTTAAATTAAAACTTCCCAGTGGCAACGTTTCACAAGTATTTTCACTAGTTCTTTTGGAAATAAAATTTTGAGTGTTGTGGAAGATAGTTCTTTTACACTGTCACGATTTTGCAGTGAAACCACAAGCTGCAGACCGTCTCTATTTTCAGCAAAATTCAATGAAATAAGTTGAAGTTCTGCAACAGTTTACTGCGATTTTAATTTCCTGAAAAAAGACACAAATTCATTTATCAAAATGCTTAGTAATTTCTATTACTAATCTTGTATTTAGTAATTTGCAGCAGGAAACAACGTTGTTCGACTTTCTGACGTACGTTTACACCAAAATTACTGCAATTATTATTACATACTTGTTTTTCGTCTCAGAAGTTCATTAAAGAAGGCTTCTCACAGTGTCGCCAGTCGGCGAGAGTTCATCAGCGGTGAAAAGACGGTTTAATATCGTAAAAAAGTTGGACGGAAGACTGCTGAAGTATTACTGGTTCAAGTTGAAAACGAGAAGTAAGACTGACGCTTGTTTTCGATCTCGGATACAGTCTGTGAGGTTTTTATCGAAGTTTTTTCAAAAAATAGTTGTCTGAAATAACATCGAAACAGACCTCTTGTCTCAGCTTTTTTAAATAATCACAATAGTCTACTTGCTAAAGTACTTTCCTTTCCTAACTTTCTCTGAAATAGAATCAAACAAAAAAACTAAATCTTGTATAATTGAAACTCTGCAAAACAAGGTGACAATTCTAAAAAAAATTTTATAAAAAACTGACAAATCAAAGATTGTGTGAGGATACCATTTGAGTTACTTCAGGCTCACTATAACTTCAATCGCCTAATTTAAAAATTACTAAAAAACCTCCCTCAGAAAAACCCATGAAAGAAGCTAGATTTAAGGTGTCTCTGTCAAGAAATTCAAATTCGAAATCAAACCCATTGTCTCGTATACCAAAATTTTCAGGTAATATTAAATATTGGTCAGATTTCTGGAGAAAGTTTGAGATTAATGTGGATAAAAATAGCGATTTTTCTGATAAGCAAAAATTGGAATACTTAAAAGAAGCCGTTGTTGGCTACGCGAAAAAGGTGGTAGACAAGTATACAATAACGGCAACTAACTATTCAGTAGTCAAAAATGTTTTAAGACAGAAGTTTGATAAACCTGACGAAGCAGTGAAAATTTTAACAGACGAGCTGAGTAAACTGCCCAAAGCAGATTCTGGATCACTTATAGGAACCGTGCAAAAAATTGATAGAATTTTGCAGTTACTGCAAGCGATTGGATTTGATGTTAACACTCGCTTAATAGAAATCATGATAGAAGGTAAACTTCCAGACTATTTGTTAGAAGATATGAACAAAAAAAAAAAGGAGAATGTCGAGTGGACGACAATGAATTTACTGAAGGAGCTCAAAGAAGTTGTTTTCAGTTACCAAGCGGCTGTTGACACAGTGCATAAATCAAATGCTGCTGGGAATTCTGTGGGTCAGTCAAAAAGGTCTCGAGCTGTCAGCAAAGGTAGATCTGAGCCGCCAAGTAAACCAGATAATGCTAATGCTAAACTTGGACCAAAGAGTAACTCTAGCAATAACTTGGGAGGTTTCTCTGCCAGTACTGAATCTCTTAATGTCTCTCAAATATGCTGTTTCTGTGAGGGTTGCCACAAAAATCATCTTTGCACTGCATATACTACGGTTCAGGCAAGGAAGAATCGTGCCCAGCAACTTAAGTTATGTCTTGGATGCCTCCGAAAGGGACACTTATTTAGTCAGTGCAAAATGCCACTAAAGCCGTGTTACGGTTGCGGTTCTCGGCACAACTCAGCGTTCTGTAATGCTTCAGAAAATAAAACCAGGAGTAGCGGTAAAGTCACTGTGCCTAGTTTAAAGCAGGAGCAAATAATTGTAACCGATGTTTCAACGTCTTCACCAGTTGTGCCTTCAGCGTTTATTGATAATTCTGTTACTAGAACCATTCTGCCAATGTGCGTCGAGGCCGTCGTAACTAATCCATGGGACTTGCTGTCAGGAAAAAAAGTTGTTGTGCAGTTTAATAAAAATTTTGAGGGAACTTTTGTTGTCGAAGAGTTTGCAAAAGCTTTAGGAATTATTGGAACAGAGGCACCAGTTACAACAGTAGTGAACAGTTTTACAGCTAGTGGTGGAGCAGCTCAGATATTGGAGCCTGTAGAACTGGGGATATGGCAAAAAGATGGTAATCTGGAAATTATCAAAGCGCGACCAGTTAGAGGTTTCGGTACAAAATTGCAGACGATCTTTTTAACAGAAAATGAAATTCCAGATCTTATGATTAGCAGCCATCTTTCAAAACCGCTGGTATGGCATCAGCCACAAGTCTATATAGGCTCAAATTATTTTTATAAATTTGTAAAAATGGAACATCAGACAAAGTCAGGTTTTATGTATCACGGTACGCTTCTGGGTCCGTCTATAAGCGGAAATGGATTGATTAAGAAAGTTGAGAAAGTAGATCGCAAGCTCGAGGATGAGCTTGCAGAAATGCGCCGCGCTGTTGATGAACTGTGGACACTTGACTCTGATAAGAAAATAGATTCTGGTGACCGTAGAAAAAGCTAATTTGGATGCAACTTGCAGTTGAGTGAGGATTCTGTACCTTACAATTTATAAAGCGATATTAAATTTATCATTTATCAAAATTTTATTTCTTAACTTGTTCCAAGGCATCTAATTTCTTTCATTTTCAGCCACATTATAAGGTTAAAAGCGGCTTGAGCGACCAGTTATAGAAACGTTTCGATAAGGCAATAACTCTTCAATTTTCTTTATCATTTTTCTTTCCCCCACTCAAATATTTTGTTCGAAAAACTTTTGTTAATTATTAATTTTAACTTATCTTGGACAGCGATTACAAGAATCAAAAAATATATATATTTTATAATATAATAATGAAATAAGTATCAAAAATTTATAATTTTTTGTCTATCTTGTAGTATTTCGGTTTAGCGCTTTATTATTTCTTATACGTGTTACATACATATATTTTTTACAATTTCATAACACTGCTTTTCACATTGTTTTTTTTTCGCAAAAAATTTGTTTTTTTTGCAAGTAAAATTTTTAGGTGTATTTTTCCAATTTTTTACCAAATATTGTCATTTTTTATGTCTCCATCTAAGTTTTTACAGCAGTTTAATAAAGCTGAGCAGCATTTTTTGAGCGGAGGGTCAGTAGTTTATTACAGTAACAGCAAAAGCCTTAGATGATTCTCTGTGTGCCTAATTTCTAAACGTCAATTTATCTGTACAAAAACAGTTGCCGACAGATTAGGCGCTAAAAAATTTTGATTAATGTCGCAAAAAAAATTTTTTTCCTAAAATATTTTAAAAATAACTGAAAATTTTTTGAAAATCTGTTTCTTTTTCATTCATATTTTTCAATAATTTTAAAGAGTAAATTTATTGTTCAATTTATTTAAATAATTTTTTGAATAAATTTGCTGGTTCTGTCATTAACTTCGTCACTGTATTTATGCTGCGGTAACCAAACTTAAAAGGTGGCAAAGTCAGCACTCTGCATGCCGCTAATAATTTATTTATTTAAAGCTAATAATGATCTGTATGACTTACACCTGTTTTAACTTTATTATTATTAACGCTATTATAATTTTACAAAAATTTACGTATTACTTTCTTTATGCACTTACCTGTTCTGCATCCGATTTTACTCATGGTGAAATTTAATTGATATTCTTGATACAACCAGATATATTCGGTGTTCCGCAATTATCTTTCATCAGTGTGTTGAAACTGCTGTGCCACTACTAATACAAAAATTCAAATTCTGAACGGAAGCCGTTTGAAGATACCAGATCGAAAATTACTAGAATTAGTAATTCAGTATAAATGGCTAAAGAGTCAACTTCTTCGATGACTGATTTTCGAAAGTCAGTGGAATGAAGCCTCTTGAAAGCTGTTTTATCATACTTAGACGCTGTGTGTAGTTGAAGCACCTTAATGATCAATTACACATTAGTTCGCCTAAACAACTTGGAAATCAGGCTGATTCTATTTGTGATATTGTGTTCAAAATGCAAATGAACGATCACTGATAGATAGTAAATGCTCCTAGACGTTTATTGTAAAGACGGGCGGACAGAGAAGTAGAAAGTTGTCAGAAACGGAGGAACAGACTACTGTTAGTGCTCTGCTTAGCAAAGTCTATCTGGAGAAGCTGATTTCATATTTTTGGCGGCAGTAACTTGCAACCGAATCTGATCGACTATTTCTTCTGGAGAGGAAGCTGATAGCTGCATGAACTTCGGTAGAAAGTGAAAATGGTTACCGGCAAAGTTTGACAGAATCGTCAATTTCAAAGATAATTGCTGTTTGGAACATGATATAAGACTTGTATTATGTACCACATTATTAATGTTCGTCTTTTAAGTTTTGTTTGCTGTGCGTATTTAGACGCCATTGCTCACAATTTTCCTCGTTTTTGCATCTAGAAACACTTTTGCGTTATCCAAATGTCATCTCAGTATATTCAAAATTAGTTGATGAATTTTTGAAAAATGCGCGATAAGAGTTCTTTGTAAAAATTTGAAGAGAAATATATTGAGGCGTATTACTTCTATTGAAATCTCATTTTTTCTTGAGCCGGGGAATTGTAAGCATCTGCATAAAATAAAAACTAAAAAACTTAGGTGCTTTATACTGTTCAACAGATAAGCAACCTGTCAGTTAACCAGTTTCTATTATTATGCATATTTTTGAGCTGATTTTTTCTCGCAGGTCTTATTGCGCTAGTTTATATGTTTTTGCTTTTGAAGATTGGTTACTGCACTTATTGATAAAATCAAGAAGGTGATGTTGTTGCCATCAAAAGTGATGAAAAAAGAAATAATTCTGATAACCAACAGTTTATATCATTATTCTTAATGTTTACTAGCTCAGAAATCTTACTTTCAAGTCCTGTAACGTTTAATGTTTAACAATCAAGCTGTTATTTCTTGCATTTTTCAAATTTGATTGTCTACAATAAATTTTTTAGTAATTCTTTTGCTACACAGCAGAATACTTTCCAATTTTTGTATAGCCGTTGAAGAAGATTATTTGAATTGCAGCTATGCGGTTGTGCCAGATTATCGTTACCCTGCTGCATTTGTTTTAATATATGTGTATGCAAATTAGAAATGGTTTCTATAAAATTTTAGCAGTAAAGTTTGGAGCAGATTCTAAAAGACAGTCGTCTTTATAACCCTTTTTTCAATTGCATAAGAATGCAAAAATGATTTTAACTTATGTGGGTTTCTAATACGTCTGCGACTTTGACGACACTGTTTGCTTAAAATAAGTAACATTGATAAAGAGTCGAATAGCCGACGGCAAATGTTTGGTACTGATAGTGATTACAGTGTAACACCGCGTAGCGTATCCTCAACTATTTATTTGGATCAACTAACTAATCGACATTTCGGTCTACCTGTGTCTTCTAAACAGCTGTAACCACCACAGTGAAAGTGAGGTTTCGATGACGTAAAGGTTCAAATCCGTTTCAAATTTTGCAGTGTACAAAGAATTGTGTGTTAAGACTGATTTTGCGATGGTTACTTTATAAGCACTTTATAAGTATTTGTTGAACAACAGAAATGAGTTTAAGATTAAGTGAAAAATGCTTTGAACAAAATAAAAAGAGGAAATTTACTACAAATCTGTACGTAAAGTGAATCATCTTTTATCGCATTTTTCTCATGACTGCTTTTCCAAGTCAAAATAAAAAGCTTCAATTGGTTTGACATTTCAGAATGGTTTAAAGAACAACCTAATAAGGACGGTTTTTGTTCATTTAATTGCTTTCTGTACAATGCAATATAATTCTGTTATGTGGTTAAAAAAAAATCAATAAGGGTGTAGGGTCGTTCAGCGGCAATTAGCGCTGAATCTTTGTCATTACCCTTTGCCCACTGATCAGCAGATCAGCAGCAGTATCAGGATCGTCTAGACAATGAGTGTTTTGACTTATAGATCATACTTTTTTATCGCAAACTGCAGTTTTTTGAACAGATTTAGTGCGATTTCATTGATAATAATTTTAGATACTAAAAAGTTGTAAAATAAAGTCGAATTTAGTCTATGCCAGTCTTTAAATTTAGTTGAGAACTCGAATCATTCTACTTACGACTCGGTCATTCAGCTTATTTAAGTTTCGTCAAAGTTTTTCGTGCAAGATGTTTAAGTCAAAGTGGGGTTGTAGAAGAACATTTTTGATAAAATCTATTTGAAAAATGTTAAGTCAAGTCTTTAATTTATTGATTACGTGAATCGTACATACAGCATTCAAGAAAAAAGTTTAGTATTTATAAAGTTTTTTTGGGAAAAGCGTATTGGGAAAGATACAACTACGATTTTACTATTTTATGTCAAAACTTTCTTGGACCACAAGCGTTGAACAAATTGAGCGTTGATGGAGGAACGTCAACAGAAATACAGAAACATGATTTATCTGCATAAGCTTGTCGCACAAGAGCCAGATGCTTGTTGCTTCAGAATGTATACTTGCAGACGGTCACCCATTTTTTTTTACTCTAACAGTGAATAGTAGCAACTGAGTTGAATATCTCAAAATGGTCATTAAAAATTATATTCACTCTATAACTGCATCAAGTGGTTTAAACAATGCATATTTAGTTTCCAAACCCGTCGGACAGTGTTGATTTTGCAAAAAAAACTCCGATGAGCACAAATTGTTTTAGTAATCAAATCCAAAGTGAAAGTGGCATTATCATTTAACAAACAGAGAAGGTAAAAAGTTTATTGTGTAAGAATGAATTTAAAAGATTCAACAATTAATAGCACAAGTCTGAGACTACAGCAAGACATTAGAGCATTAATCAACATAACCAATAAATTAATGAACGTCAGTAATGTTACTCTAAGCTGTTAATTTAAAAAATTTCTTCCTTTTTCCAATTTGTCGGAAATAACCCTGCAGGACTATCAGAATGAGAAATTTCGAAAAACTGCATAATGACTGAAACTTTTTTTTTATTTTCAGAATTTGGTCTTTATAACATAACTACTGTTCTACGTAATCTTTGAATGTCTGCGTAGAAAAATTCTTTGATCACAACTGGTTTTTATCTGCCGAACGTAAGAAATATAGAAATAAACCGTATAAAGCAGTAAACCATTAGCAGTTTGCTTTTATTTCCACAATTATTTCGCACTGGCAGTTGTCCTCAAGCATTAGACTCCTTTCTGGCAAATATCATCAGCAATTATTTAGTTTTTTGTAAAATCAATTTCTCCATTTTCTTTACTGTTTGGGCATTTCATTCTTATTTTCTTTTTTTGACAATATTTTAGGGCAGTCATAAAGATAGTTCTTGAGAATAGAATCAGCTTCATTTTCAAATTTCTCCCACGAATTAGTAGGTAAATGACAGTTAGAACGTTTCATTTCCATGAAGCATTTCAGCGTCTACCAAGATGAATCGTTTCATTAAGTATACCATATCCATAACCCAAGAAAGGTGCAGTTTATTAACTACGGTAACTTCTTTTCGACCATTTCCTTCTACATCCATCCGAATCAGATTAAGTGAACGGGAAAATAAAACTGATTTATCTTTTTAAATACGAAATGGCTGATTCTGGGCACACTTGGTTAGATATCTTCAGGCAGCTTCTGTTTAAGAATTTAGATATGGTACTAACAAAGCGCTGTGAAACTAACTGACAGGTGACAGAATATAACAATGACTTGGATAAATCAGACTACATTGAGTTAGAATTTAGCAATGAGAAAATTCTAAAGAAATGGAAATGAACAGGCATTGCAAACGTGGTAACCAATTAGGAAAAAAGCGAAAATGTTACAAAAATTTAAAAAGTGTAAAGTGCAATAAACGCCTTATTTTTTATCCCTAAATTGGTTCCCAAAAAGCGTAATCACGATTGAAAATTTAGCGATAAACAGTAAAGCAGTTAAAGTAAAGATAAACAAACATATAAAAATAAACGTAGAAAAAATTAAATGCAAAAATTGCAAAAAAATATTGCTGCTGTTGTTGCATTATCGCAAAAAGTTTTTTTTTTTTAAATAGTAGGAAAAAGTGCTGTAGCAGCAAGAAAATAAAAAGTTTACCACAAATGTCGTTTGATTTTGTCACAGTTAGCTGTATATTGAGTAAAGCAAAGATAAATATCTGCTAGATAATTGTGCAGCTGACAAAAAACCAATTATGCTTGTAGAAAACTCGCTGAAGAAATTGGTGACTTGTTCTCAACATCAGCTTTAAAAATTTGTCAAAATTCACTTGTAGTAATCGACCAAGAATTTGAAAGATGAGTAAAAATTATCAAGAACTTTTTTCTAGCTATAAAAAAATGAAAAATTATTAGGTATTAAAAGTCGTCAATTTAAAAATTGTTACAGATTAGTGAGTGAAAAATTTGTTGAAATTAACAACGAATTCGTATGAAATTTAATTGCGATCCTAATAACAGTCTTAAAGCTTTGATTTTTAGCTTAATATTTCGTCAAAAATTTTGTTTTCTTCTTTAAAACTTATTGTTCGCCTGCATTTAAGGCACCTGAAGTCTGTCGACAGCACGTTTCATCTCTGCAAGCTCATCTTCAAAATTACGTTTTTCTTTTTGCTTCTTCGACTTTCTTAATCAACCCATGTCCACTCAACATTATACCCAGAAGTGTATTATAACACACAAATCCAGACTTTAATGAGAAGTGCTGCTTCAAATCCACAAAGTTGCAAAAACAATCGGCTCCCAAGTATAACTGCGGTTTCCGCCATACCGCAGGTTTTAGAAGATGACTGCTGTGCTTATTATCTTCAATTTCGCCTTCCGACAAGCAAACCATCTGCACTTCTTTGTTCCACTCTTTAGTTAGTTTTGCAGTAATAATTTCTAGGTCACCATCATTCCTAAAAATTCCGATTTTTGCAAATCTTTTGCTGTAGGTAGCTTTAGCATTTGGTGTCAAATTTTCTGTCTGTTCCGTTTGACGCGCGCTGCCTCCAACAACTCCCAGCATTTCCGCTAAGTCTTTCGAAGCAAAATTCTCTCTTAACTTACTATCGAACAAGATTACAACTTCTTCCTTTTTCTGCTTGTTCTCTGGGTTACATACGGTTCCCTCAACACACATTGCTAGAGTAACTGCAATAGCCGGTTCATTAATATGCGCTTGGGAGCTGGACGACCGTTCTGAAGAAAATGAAGCGGTTTTACCTCTGTCTTCAATTAAATGTATGTAATCAGAACAGAATGCTGCATTGTGTTTGGAACCGCAACCACGACATGGCTGTAACCTTCTTATACACGGCCTGTTTGAATGCCTCTGAAGGCAAATCTCGCATAACCCCAGCTTCTGAGCTCGATCCTTCCTATCTAGAGCTGTGGTATAAACAGAGCAAAGGTCGCTTTCATGGTTACCCTCACAGAAACTGCAGGGTTTCCGTTGCTTCCTCATAGAGGTGCGAGAAAAGTCTTCAGTAGGTTCGCAACAATAAGCACTTTCTTTAAGCTGTGTCTCAGATCTATTGCTTGCAGCTCGGTCGTCTATTGGTTGAGGTGTGGACTGTCTAGTTGTCTGGAAGTTGCTTTCAATCTTCTTTGTTTGCTCCAGAGGAGAAATTTCAATATTATTACTCTTACTTGCAGCTTTGTACCCACGAAGGTCATGGAAGGCTGAGTTGTGTTTAATGTCACAGTAGTAACATGGTTTTAGCTCTGTCCTACACTGAGTTTCTTGATGTCCCTTTTGGAGACATGTAAAACACAGTTTTAGCTGTTCAGCGCGTTCGAGTCTTTTCCGACGCGTAGCATAGACAGTGCAATCACAACTTTTGTGATGCCCCGGACAGAAACTGGACAAGTTTTGTGGTTCCGTCGTAGGCACCTCAATATAACCAGTGCTGAAACCTGATTCTCTAGTACTGCTAGTACTACTGTTTTCCTCACTTATCCTCGCTTCAAGTTCAGCGTGAGAATAAGCTTGTTTACCTGATGTTTCGTGCCTTTCTTTGCTAGCAGTCCTATCCTTTTTTATGTAACTAGACTGATAGTTGTCGAGAGCTTCTGCCTTCTCATAATTCATGCCGTCAACAGTTGCTTCATTCTTGAAAACAATGCGCTTGAGTTCCGTCACCAAATTTTCTACGGTCCACCCGACAGTTTCTTTTTTCTTTGTATTTATACTGTTCCATATATACGAAGGTATCTTTGCCTCAACAGCCTTTTCTATCACAGTGCAATTAACATCATATCCAACTACCTGTAGCAGTCGGAGAATTTTATCAATTTCTTGAACAGTTTCTTGAAGAGACTTCAAAGATGCCACTGGCAGCTCTTCCAGCTTGTCTAGTAAAAAATTTGATGCATCTTTATCAAATTTTTGTTTTAAAAGATATTTTACTTTTGTATAATCGAGTGCTTCTTCTCCACACTTTTCTACCAGCTCCATAGTTCTTTCGCCCAAAACTTCTTTTAAGCATCGTAGTTTTTCTGAATCTGGAAAATCTTTATTTTTATCTACATAAGCCTCAAATTCCTCCCAGAATTCTGGCCAGTCTTTGATATTACCTGAAAATTTTGGAACACGAAATAAAGGATTCGATTCAACATCAAAACAATTTAAATCGTATGTCATTTTTATATTTTTTTAGCATGTAAGGGAAGCAAAATTCAAATTGTTTTCTTACTTGCTTTTTGATTTATTTGATTCTGGAAAAAATTCTTTCGACAATCACAGTTTTTTAAGGAATTTAGGTTATGAAAGAACGAATTTGTGATTTTTAATTTCCAAAAGTTAACAATAAACAGGTATGCAATTTGAAAAGACTGTTTTAACTGCTAATTATTTAGATTAAAAAGTTGAGGCTTAAGACTTAAAAAACGCTTGTTTGAATTGCAATGTTAAGAACAAAGTTGGCAAAAACCTGATTCACTGTATCTATTAAATAAAAGAAGTGTTAGTCTTACCCCTGAAATTTTACTTGAAAACAGAAACTTTTACAGCTTTTGTTTTTGTCTAATTTCTTCTTTTCCAGTGAGCTTTGTGGCAGATTTTACGCCTTTCGAATTGTTGAAGGTTGCCACTAGTCGATTCTTGCTTGAATACACTTCTGAAAGCAAAAAAAAGTATATATTAGGGATTTCAAGTGTAAAAGCACACTAAAAGTCATGCAGTGGTATTTTGTAGTGCAATTTAGGGAAGTCAAGTATGATACTGAATGCAAAGAAAGCATTTGAAAGTTGTGTGTAAGTTGTAGTTCAGAAAGTATGCACTGCAGAAGTTCAGCTCATGGGATCGCATTCAGCTGAAAGCAAAGATGAACAATCGACGCACTTGGATTATCTTACAAAAAGAAAAATTTTTTGTCCAGGAAGAAACTTCAATTTTTTTAGGAATTTAAAGAACAAGTGAAATTTTTTATACAATATCTAAGAAACTGCTGATAATCGCTTTACTACGCAGTGTTTTACTGAAGAAGGTGAAAACTGCGTTTAAGTACCGTTGCTTGAATAGGTTTTGATAAAGCGAAGTGGCAGAAGAGGCCGCGGCGTCTGAGAACTCTTATTCAAAAAATTAAGAAATAAGCTGATGACTAGAAAAAATTTTTTCTTGCACAAGTTTCTGTTCCCACATTACACTTAGAGCATAGCATAATACAGTTCTTTTATGGAATTGCTGCATAAAAAAAACACTTTATCAGTTGTAGAAAGCTGTTACTTCAAGAAAAAAAAAAAAAAAGTACATGCGAAAAATTTTTTGTGGGGAAGAGATTTTACATAATGCAAAAATACATCTTTTATCATATCTTCGGCAACATAATTTGAATCATTTTTTACTGCAGGAATTTAATCAAAATTTTATTTGTCGTAAAGATTTACAAAACATTTAAATGTAGAGAATGACGCATAAATTATGTAGAGAAGTGTTCAAAACGGCAAGAGCGAAGTTTACACACAAGCTCAAAAGAGAGCAGAAATACTGAATAATTTCTTACTTTTCAGACTTTTATGTAATCTGCTTGCTATTTATAAAAAATCTTTTTTTTATACTTCCTCTTTTAAAAAGGTATAATGTCATCAGAGTAATGATATGAAATTTAAGCTTTATTAAACATGTTTATTGTTGATGACTGGGTAATAATCTCAACAGTATAAAGTTATATCATCCCGCTTTTAACATCGAAGTAATCAAAACTGTCAATTGTCACTCAACAAACACTGCGGCTTCCTCCACCATTTGATTGTAAATGTATTTTAACAAACTTTGTTTAGCCAAAGGAAGTAGTGATACAGCGTCTGTGTCATCACTTCCGGTTACAACGCAGGGAACCGGCAAATTACCAAATGCTGTAACCTATTAACTTAGCTATAAATTTTTTGCGTTTTTTTGCTGGGTTTTGGAATTCTTTTGCCAGTGCTTTCGTGGACCATTAACGGTTTCATAAATGTTGTCTACATGCTGTAAAAGCTATCAGTATATACTTACACGCTTTTTAGACCATGTTGAAGACGGCGAACTACATTTTTAAATACCTACCATACAAAAACAAAAATATTCCGCGTTATTAAAAAATTTTCTCTATCTAAACCTGCTACAGTTACTTGTTTTTGAATAGAAAATGATGCTTAGAAAATATTATAATTTCTCCTTGTTCTAAGCTACATCAGAACTGTCTCACCTAACAAATGAGTGCACCTTGACAAAGTTTATAAAGCACCCTTTCGAACATTTTTTTGTTGCTAGTTTTTCCTTGTTAGTTTTTTCGACAAAATTTTGTCTTTGCATATATGAAAGTGGCTAAAAGATAAGCAGAAAAAGCACACTTTAAGGTGAGCATTTCAAGCTGCAACAGTATTTGAAACTAATATTTATATTTTTGCCACAGTTTATTCAAAAAAATTTCAGTATTCCTTACGCAGGAACCGCTATTATCCTGAACAGCAAACAGAATTTTTTGTATTTAAGCAACGATTTCTCAAATTTGGGTTTGTATTATTGTCGCTGTCAATAAGTGTATATTAAGACATTTAATCATGATTTGACCAAAAAAAGTTAACAGATAGGAAAAAAGAGAAGAAAATGTAGATTTTTCAATTTAACTGTTTCTTCCGCACCTTTTTACTGGTTTCGACCTGCTGATAAGCCAAACAAAATTGTTTTATAGGATAAAATGTGGAAGAATGCTATATTTGTAATGTATTATTTTACAAGCATTATCAATTTCCTAACTGCATACAGCTTCTTTGAAGGTTGCGGAAGTGTTGCACAGAGAAGGGCAAAAAAAATGAAAACCGGTAGCATCGAATATTATGCACTCAAATTGGTTATGCGAGTCAAAAAGGAGGACATATACAGTTAAATGCCAGTCTCTAACGATTTTTTCAGATCGACCGGTAATATTTGAAACAATTAGCTCTTTGTAAAAACTTTTTCTTGATTTGAATGTCGGTTCAGCTTTCTCTATTTCTTTTTATCTTGTTCAACTACTCATGTATATTCAGCTGATAACCATTTGTAATAAATCTTACGTGTTCATTTGTCATAGAAATTTACACTTAATAGTCACTTTAAAAACAAGTTAATGTTGTTATTCGATAACAGTTTTATGTATTGGAAGTTTATTTAACGAATTCCAAAGTTTACAGAACAAGCTGAGCGATTCAGCTCTCGCTATCTATGCAATTGACTGCCATGTCCACACTTTTTCTTACATGTATATCGTTAATGGTTGACGGCGTAACCTTATTAAATCATTTTTCTGTTCTTTTTCAAGCAGAACTTTTTCACCACCTCAAAATTTCCATCCTCTCTTGTAAAACTGGCAGTGCACTTAACAATACTATCAATAATTCATCTGAAGCTTGTTTGTCAAGAATTAGTGATACCAGTTGTTGAGAAAGCTATTGTTAAATTATAAAGACCGATGTCCAATGTTTTTGCAGTTTCTACTGTCCATCTTAAAGCTCTCTTTTTAAAGTCTAATTTGTACCTTTCTCCTGCAAAGAGAAAAGTTCCTGTGAAGAAATGTGAATAATCTATGAATAAAGATAACAAACTTCAAGGTGAAGCCGAAGAATTAGAGTAATGTCTGAGTGCTGGCACTAAACTAGTTTAATATCATAGTCCGATTACCTACTTTAACTTTTTTGAAAATTTATAAAGTCTGTACCTTGTTTTAAGCCACTTAGCTTTGAAAATGCAGTTTTCTCATTATAGTGTTAATACTGTCAAAAATTCATTTCTACAGTGCCACTAATTTTACCATAAAGACTAAAAACTGTTTTTCATTTGTCTCAGTATGCCCTGCATAAAATTATGGTTGATTCTAGAAAAAAAATTTTTTAATGGTTTGACGTAGTTTTAGTTTTTATTGAGCTGTCTAATTAACACGTATCGGAACTATTTATTTATGGTAATAGTCACTGAGACGACCAAACTGCTTATTAAGATTATAAGTGCATAACGGAATTGCTGTTGGAGAAATTTTGAAACCAACAAGTTAAACAGGAAAGAGTTTACAAACTGTTTTTACAGGTTAGAGTCTCTGTTAACTCGCGTGTCTGCTGCATTACATCCCAAACTGATAGTTGAGATGTTGTCCATCCCGGTCAAAAATGTGTGCCAAAATACCTCTACAAAAAAGTGATGGGAACTATTGCAGCACTTATACCATCAAGCGCCAGAATTTCGGCTTAGAACGGTGAAGCGGATAGACATATTGTTTTATCAGTGACGTTGTAGCTTATGCAGTCAAAGAGAAAAACACAAATGGTGTAAGCCGTAATTTTTAAATATTCTACTTTTTCTTTTAGCGGGCAGAGAAAGACTATATATGCTGGTTCAGTAACGTGTCAGTTCTCATAAAAGAACGAATTTATAGGGTTGCTTGTCCCATTTTAAATTTAATTTCTTGATAAACTCGACCAACAAAAGCTTTTTATTTTATGTTTACTAGTTTTTTTTCTTTTTTTTTTTTTGAAGTTACTTTTGTGACTCTTTTGCAGCAAAATTTTTTTCTAAACATGTGATTCAACATTAGCTCGCTTAATTGCAAAGCTCTGTTTTCAGCTGAATTTAGTCACATAAACTGAAGCTCTGCAACAGTCTACTATAATCATTGCCTTCAAAACTGGGATTTATATTAATGTATCAAATGCTAATTTCGTCTTCAATACCAATTGCAAACTAACTGTACTGCATTACAAAATGACGTATTACGTGCGTCAGCAAGAGAAAGTACTGTGCATTTTGCTTTACGCTTTCTTCTGTTTTTAAAAATACGTTTGAACAAGTGCTCGTTATTATAACAATCAAACAACATTCTTCAGACTGTTAATAATTAGCAGAAGTGCCATCACAAAAGTTCTGAAATAAACGGCAAAAAATTCATAGCTGAGAGGACTATAACCTGCAGTAATTTGCTGGTTTCCTGCGTCGTATCCGGAAATGATGACACAGATGCTATATCACTATCTCCTTTGGCCAAACAAGTTTGCTAAAATAGATTAACAGTCAAATGGTAGAGGAAGCCGCAGTGTTTGTTGAGTGACGACTGACAATTTTAATTAATTCGATGTTAAAAACCGGATGATATAACTTTATACTGTTGAGATTTTACATTACTCAGCCAAAACAATAAAAAAGTTTAGCAAAGCTTAAGTTTTTTAATGACAAATACCTTTTTTGAGCAAGAAGTATGAAAAAAAAGATTTGCTATAAAAAGTCTGTACTTTATAAAAGCCCAGAAGTAAGAAGTTGTTGTTAGGCCTGACCTATTTTGCTCTCAAAAGTCTGTCCTTCAAACGTTATCGTAGCAACAGGTCAGTTAGATGTCGCTCTGTCTAAGATTACTCTAGAATGCTTCATATACGAATTTCCACTAGCATTTAAAAGGTTCTTATTAGTGTAATTCTAGGTGCATAAACTAAAGCTCTGCAATAGTTTACTGTAATAATTACTTTCGAAACTGGAGTTCATCTTCATATATCGAATCCTAATTCTGTTTTCACCAAAAATTCTGACGTAACTGTGTTGCACTAAGAAATAACATTGTTCGCAAGGGAAAGAACTACGCTTCCTGTCTTACTTTTTTTTTGTTTTCAGGGGTTCATTTGGGAAAGTGTTCAAGCAGTAGCAACGTTCGACAAGTCTAGAAAAGGTAAATTGAGAAGTTGGGTAAAAATTGGTGGAGTTTCTGCGGTCTAGTGTGAAAACGTGTGACAAAAGCGAGCTTTTTTATAGAATTTGGTTTAGTTGGTCAATTTTCTACTAACGTTTATTCTAACATAGCCGATAAAAATAACACTTTGCTAGACTCCTTCAGCTTCCTCATACTGATCATTCTACGGCTCAGGAACTTTTTTTTTTCAACTTTTCATACCAATCCTGTTGATAATTTCTGAAAAAAGCTAAATTTTAAGATTAGGATTTTGAGTGAGTTAAACTCCGCGAAGTAAATCAGTTGCTATCAAAAGAAGTTTCTCAAAAGCATGATAGATTTAAGATGTTTAGAAACAATAAATTTTCATAAATTTAAAATTGAGTTATATGAAATAGAAAAAATAAAAATTTTAAAATGACAAAACATCAGAAGTTCAAATGAAAGATATTTGATTTGGTTTTTCAAAATTTTGATGTAATTGATGAACCAAGAGAAATTTAGCAGACGAGATGGGTGGCAATAATGTCAAAGATCTCGACACGACTGCGATTTGCTATGACGCATCAGAATCAGAAGCAAATGACTTGTGCGGTTTGAACGCCACAGAATCTTTTGTAGAGCAGAAAGAAATTACCAAAATTAACGTCCAAACGCCGCAATCTTTCTACTCCCAATCAATGTGTAATAAAATTTCAGACCTGACAGAAGAATCTGAGATACATGTCAAAAAAAATATTCATAGTTCCGCTTTGGCCAAAAATTCTTCTCAATCCATTACGGAGAAAATAGGAAATTCAAAAAGCTGCTGTTTTTGCAAGGGTGACCACAAAAGTCCTTTTTGCACTGCATATCCTACGATTAAAGCAAAAATGGATCGTGCCAAACAGCTAAAATTATGTCTTAAATGTCTCCAAGAAGGACACCAAACTACTCAGTGCAGAACAAGGCTAAATCCATGTTACTTCTGTGGCGATATACACAATTTAGCCTTCCATGACCTTTGTGGGTACAAAGCTGCAAGTAGGAGTGATAACGTTGAAATTTCTCCTCTGGAGCAAGCAAAGAAGATTGAAAGCAACTTCCAAACAATTCGACTGTCCACACCTCAACCAATAGACGGCCGAGCTGCAAGCAATAGATCTAAGAAACAGCTTGAAGAAAGTGGTTATTGCGCAAAACCCATTGGAGGCTATTCTCACTCTTTTATAATAAAAACAGAAAAACCAAAAAGCTGCAGTTTCTGTCAGGGTGACCACAAAAGTATTTTTTGCACTAAATATTATACGGCTCAAGCAAGGATGGATCGTGCCGAGCAGCTAAAATTATGTCTTGGATGTCTCCAAATGGGACATCAAAAAACTCAGTGCGGATTAGAGCTAAAACCATGTTACTACTGTGGCATTAAACATAATTCAGCCTATTATGACTTTCTTGTGTACAAAGCCGAAAACGAAATTGATAACATTGAAATTTATCCTCTTAAAGAAATGAAGGAGATTGAAAGCAACTTTCAGACAATTCGACCGTCTGCACCTCGACGATTAAACGGCAGAGCTGCACGCAACAAAGCTAAGACACAGTTTGAAGAAAATGCTTATTGCTCCAAGCCTACTAAAGACTGTTCTCACCCGTTCTGTGATGGTGACCATGAAAGCGATCTTCTCTCTATTTATACCACAGCTCTGACCAGGAATCATCAGGCGCAAAGGCTGGAGTTATGCAAGAATTGCCTTCAGGGAAATCAACACAGACAGTGTGTAAAAAAACAATTCCATCCAGTCCTTTATGACGAAGGCTCAGAAACCCTGCAGTTTCTATGAGGGTGATCATGAAACGGGTCTTTGCTCTGTTTATGTCGTTTAAAACTGCTTAAAATTTAATAAAATTTATATGCTGTTTATGTTCTGCCATTGAGAAATTTCAAACCATTTGCCAGTAACGTGGACGCGTAGAAGTGTTTTGCATGTAACTACGTTGAGCACAGTTTCAATGACTCAGAAAATGGGAACGAAATGTGTCAATGTGCAGCTGTTGGCAAGCAACGGTAGCCGGGCTTTGAAGAGAGTTTTTTAGTTTAAACATCCTTCTGTGTTCCTTTACCTTTCTAAGATTCTGCTTAAAAGAAATTGCTTAATTTGACAAAAAATGTTTATCCTAGTGACTTTTTGACTTTTTTTCGGTAAAAAATAACAAAAAAATATTTTTTCAACGCAAAGTAACTTGCACTGCTTCCTCAATTACGGTAGTAAATCCGGCAACCGGTTCCCAACAGCAACGCTTTATAACATGGAGTCATAAGACTGACAAAAGAAGCAACTTTAGTAATATGCACAACAGTTGGAGATGATAGCACAAAAACAGTTTTCTCTTGAGACTATACAAATAACCTGAACTTTTCGGATTCTAATGCTCAGTGCACAATTTGCATTTTTTTGATCTAAAAATAATAAACAACTTATTCTCGGCAACTTTGGTCAAGTACCTTCAAGCGCCTTCTATTCAAAGTTTTAGCGGCACTACTGAGAGAGCGCTGCTAATATGACGGACGGTTGAAACAAAGTAATAACAGCTTTAACAAATCATACCACATCAAGAATATCAGGTTGGACCTTTCCAGTAAGAAGGACGTAGCACAGAGGAAGAGAACAGACAGTATAGGCAAACAGGCATTTAGAAGCAGGAAAAAGCATTGAAAAAAAGATGCAAAGAATTTTTGCTGCACGAATTCAGAACTAATAATTTACCAGTACTTTTCAAGGCAAAAATCTTACTGTTTTCCCCACTTAGCTGCCACAAAAAAATCAGCTTATTTGAAAGAAAAAGAAGAACGAGAAGAAAAGAAGGTCGAAAAAAAATCATCACGCATCCATTCCAGACATCAAACTTCGTCGGTAGCATTTCTGCAGACTGATCTTCAAGACTACATTCTGTTTTTGCTTTTTCCACTTTTCTAATCACGCCATATCTGTTCAATATTGGACCCAGAAGTGTACTATTATACACAAATCTTGACTAAGATTTTTACTTCAAAGACCACTGGTGAATTACTAGTTCTTATTTTCTGCAGTAAATTTTTTTTTTAATTTTTTTCAGTACTTTTTCCTTCTCTTGATAAAGGTCGTGACATGACTGTAATCTTTTTTTATACACTGCCTGTACTGATTATCCTGAACCCAAATATCGTGCATTTTCAGCTTTTCAGCTCGATGCTTCCTGCTGAGAGCTGTAGTATAAATAGAGCAAAGATCGCTTTCACGGTCAGTCTCACAAGAACTGCAGGATTTTAGTGCCTTTATCGTAAAGAAGTGAAAACAGTCTTCAGTAAGTTAAGGACAATAAAACTTCCTTGGAGTTGCGTCTTCGATTTATTGCTTGCAGCTCGGCCGTCTAACGGTTGAGGTGCGGTAGGTGCGGACGGTTGAATTGCCTGCAAATTGCTTTCAATCTTCTTCGTTTGCTTCAAAGGAGAAATTGCAATGTTATCACTCTTACTTGCAGCTTTGCACGCATGGTCATGGAAAGCTGTGTTCTGCTGAATACCACAGCAATAACATGGTTTTAGCTTTTTCCTGCAGTGAGTGGTTTGATGTCCCTTTTGGAGACATCCAATGCACGACTTTAGCTGTTCAGCGCATTCGCATATTCCCTGACGCGTAGTATAAGCATTGACTAACGTGATTGAGGGAGCAGCGTAGGTTACTTTAGGTTAAAACAGTATTTCTTTGCAGTTTGTAATATCACTTTTCGTGTCTATTAATTCTTCACTCCCACTGTTCACTCCTGCAGTTTTTCCGGATAACCTGTGTTTACTGTGTTGATTTATATAGTGTACAAATTTATTTACCGCAGTAAGCTTCTGTTCTTTTTTTCTTGTAATTTTATTAATTAGCAAGACAAAAGATACACTTTTGTATTTGTTGGTGAAAATGTGATGTGCAAAGTAAAAAAGTCTTTTTTGAAATTAGATTAGTGTAGTTTGACGCATATTTTTTCTAAGAAAAAGCTATACTTTTAAATCATTTACCAGTAACGTAAGAGCGTAGAAAAGTTTTACATTTCACTGGGTTGAGCACAGTTCGGTGACTCTGATGATGGGGTTGTACTCAAATATCATTCTGATGACCGGATGTGCCACCAAGGATAAATCTGAGCAGGCAAGTTCTGTAGTATGTGATAATTGGTTGGGAGGCAGGTTTCTTCAAGTTTATTACATGTGACTTCTGAATTTCTCAGTTTTGATAAAATTCCCTATTCTAGTTGCCTCTATAACCGTATGAAGAACTACAGGCATACAAGTGAACGGGGTGGCGGGTGCTTGTTCTGGCTTAAAACACTTTGGATAAAATTTTTGTTACTTATATGGAAGCAGAAGAGAGGAAAATGTAAAATCCGAATACTGTTTAGTAATAAATGAATTAGTAGGAAAAATGATAAGATGATTTGGGATTTGCAACATGTACAGCGATTTGAACTTGAGAACGGTTTCCAAATTGGGTAAATGATGTTTGAAACTTCTTCAGTAGTGTGATTTAAAATTGAGGAGAAAAAACGGGAACGAAATGTGTCAATGGGCAGCTATTGGTAGGCGACGGCTTGTAGTCAACAAGCGCTAAAGAGAGCCTTTTAGTTTAGACTTTCTATTGTGTTCTTTTGCCTTTCATAATTCTGCTTATCGGAAATTGCTCAGTTTGACAGAAAATGTTTGTTTCAGTGCATTTCTGGCTCTCTTTTGGAAATAGCTTTGAAATTTTTCAGTATCAACACATGAACAGTATATAAATTTTATTAAGTTCTGTACAGTGTGATTTGCTGCAGTATTTAAGTATCATGTCGTTCCTTGTTATCCACAAAACGAATCTGAAGGTTATTTCAAAATTCAACCTAACAAAACTGAAATGCATCTTTTTACTTCCACTCTTATACTTCTCATGGCTATTATTGGTGTTAGAGTGAAAAAAGACTGTAATATAGTGCACTAAGTGAGTAAAATCTAACAAGCTCTTAAAATCTTTCATAGAATAATTACTAAACATAATAAATTAATTGATAACTTTTTTCAAACCGTGGTCAGTGAAGTTTGATAACTGTTATATGTTTTTTACTCATATTCAGCAACAACAATGAATACGTGACGATTGTCGTCATAAGCTCTTCCGAGGCCAATTTTTCTGAGCTTAGCATGTTTGTAATAATTGACTGGCCAGTTTTGCATCTCTTTTTGCCAAAAATCAGCAATTAGAAGACTCGGTCTACTCCCCATCCATACATTCATCAATGATTCTGATCGACACCTAGATTTACTTGGATTTAAAATAGTCTCTAACAGTGCTTAATGCTCTGCAATAATATTTCCTCAATATAAATTATAAAGGAAAATGACTAATAAAACATTTATTTTTAACTTTTTGAAAAGGTTATTAAAATCTAAACATATTCTGTTCTCTAACGCGCTAAATAATGGCATTTAAATTTTCAGATTAAAAAAAACAGAATTTTTGACGATCAAATCAAAAAATACAAGTGATATTTTACTAATTGTTGGAGGAATGGTCTGACCTGAAGGTGCCAGTGAGCACTAGTGATCCTGCCCATCGACGGGCATTTTCAGCTAATTCTTGGTCATAATTCAGTGGTTGAAGGTGATAACTCTGTAATGTTGTAAAAAATTTATTGCTTAAACATGAAGTACGGGAATTCAACATATACTAATGAACATTCTTAAGCTTTCTCAACGTAATTAAGCAGAGATTCTTAATAGCTCTAAGGTCTGTTTTTTTCCTCTGTAAAAGTGACAGCTTCACGTTGAATTAAGTATCAGATTTTCAGGATTAAATAGGCAGTGACTGCTACGACAAAACCGCCAGTCGGACATGAGTAGAAGATCTGCTCAGATGAAACCGTATTTGTTTTAGTCGAAAGTAAATTTGAATATCAAAAACGATTGGTAGGGAACAATGACCGTTTTTGCTAAGTAATGTGCTATTTTGGGTTTTAAGTTGGCTGTATTTTTTGACTTACAATGTCTTTAATAAGCTATAGTTTCCATAAATCAGTAGAAATTGATTACCACTGCATTATTCGACTTTGGTGACAAAAAATAATACGGCACTATTGTATCTGAGTGTTGTGTATTTGCGAGTTTAACATTCTGGGAAAAAAACTGCCAGGGAAGTTGAAGAGATGATATCTTTTAGCTCAAGAATAACTTTTTGCAGCGCTTGAACTACATCGTTCCTATATCGTTTCACCGTTTCTGTCATTTGGCAAACCTCTTTGTTCAGACAGAATTCACAGCTCGTTCGTTTTAGAGAACGACTTTAACAGCATCAGAAAGTTGGATGCTAAAGTTTCCTTATACTGTAGGCAGTGTAGCCTCGGTATCCTGAGCGACAATTTCCATCTTAATTTTATTCTTTAAATTCTTCGATTTTTTTATTTACCGAAGTGAACATAATTGAGACTAGAGCCTTCAGCCTCTTTTCTTTCTTCTGTAATTGTATTTCATGATTTCATGACTTCTATAATTTTTCAGTAGCTTTAAAGCATGGTAATTTATCCAATGCTCTTCAGCCCTATCAACTGCAAGACGCCAGCAAATTAAAGGTGCCAAAAATTTTAAAGGCTACGTAGAAGCTATAGAACTGCAACGTTTTTACATTTCACAGTCTGAACGATGAGTACTTAAATAATATAGGCATCGTTTTTAATAAAACCTCTTGACTTATACCTATTACATCTACGCTATTCTGCATTTATTTAAATTTGCATCTGAATATCACTGACTGCTTACCTCACGAAACTGATTTATTCTATTTGCAATATTTTCTAAGCTCGAACTTTCGCTATAGCTTTTTACAGATGAAGTCGATATGAGATCAGTTTTTCCTGGCATGAATTCCTTAATCTCTGTTCCGCTTGTCGACCATTCGTCTCCGTAAAGAGTTGTGTCTCCGTGACGAGGCAAATCTGAAGCAAACTTTATGGTCTGATCAACGATTTTCTGGGACAGAAGTGCTTAATAGAAAAAATTTTAGTACTTCTTACTCAAATATTCAGTTTGTGATGAAAGAATTTCTTCAAAGATTTTTCTTCTTCTACTACTTGTTGTAGAATGACTTCGACGATGACTTCTGTGATAGTGCGAATGAGATGGGTGGCTGTAGCACAAACTGCGGCACTCGCTTCTAATGCTACCTGAATCGGATACAGAATTTCGTTGACTGTGGAGATCATCATGATGTCTACCGATTGCTTTTGCCGCGTTGTCATCATAATAGATAGTTCGCTGTAAGACAGAAAACTTAAAGTGTAGAAGGCAAAAATATACAATTGAATAATTTGTTTAGCAAAAAGTAATGTATAACTACTAAATCTGTCTTTTTAGTAAAAAATTTAACATTGAAAATAAGAAGAACAAGTCAAGTACTGTTTGTAATCTTGATATCAAGTAACCAAAAGACAATAATATTTTGATCAAAAGTAGGCCACCAAAAGAGTATCAATTTTTATTGCTTTATCTGAAAAGAGATAAATGTAGGCATAGAAAATCAAAAAATATCAATGTAAAAAATAAAATTGGTGGTTCAGTTACCATTTTAGTTGTAGAAAGTACTCTTCCAGATGGGGTACTATGAATAATACTTTTTTCAACAATTGTTCGTTTTTCGCCACTCATTTTTTCAAACCACTACACCATATCAGCGATTTTTTAAAAAACACTGAAAAAAGAAACAACGCTATTATAAATTAAACTGCTATAATTTTTTTTTTCTTATCTATAATTATCGGTGATTTAGCACATTTACTGTTTTCTAATTCAGTAATATTAAAGACCGTTTCAAAAGACTTTTAACTTTTTTTTTTTTTCACCTTCAAACATTGGTAAATTTTTGTGCAAAAAATTTATTAGAGAAAAATAAACCAATGATAAGGAATAATTACTGCAAATATCAGTGCAGTTGTACTGAGTAAAAGAATGATAAATGTAAAAAATTTGTAAAATTTATCATCTTTTAAAACCAAAAAAAAAAAA